TTCTTGTAATTCAGCGAATAAAATATAAATTGAAATGTACTAGCGACTTAATCAAAGATATTATAAAATAATCTGAAAGATTCAACATATTTATCCACTCATCACTTTGTTTACAAAATGTATTTGTAAAGGCCATTCTATGGTTTGTTTTGTGTATGACCTTAGGTCGCTGGATCACACGCCGGTGACCTTCTTTACCACGCGCTATCGAGAGAGGGGTTACATAATTGTAAACACACAAGGTGAATGTAAAAGGCGTGTACTTAATGGCTGTGAATGGTCTATGTTTAAAGTTTTGTTTTATTTTCTAACTTTATTGTTTGTTTTTATATGATAAGAAGAAAAGGTTATCTTTTTTCCCTGTTAAGTAGACTGGTTTATCCAAATTTGAAAACAAACGAAATAAAAGGGAAAGTTGTCAGTAAATAATTTAGAAATAAAGCTCAGAACACTTCAAGAACCCGATTCTAAAGAATATTAGCATCTAATGTAGCTAGGTTTATTATTTATAGTAAGTTTATTTTAATTACACGCATGAAGAGCTCTTGTTTACTTGCTGAATGAAAACGCTTACCTGTATATGTGTTATGCTTCTAGCTCATTTAGAACACAAGACTCAAACAAAATAACGTTTTCTTGAGATCAGTAAGATGTTAACTAACAACTTTAATTACGGCAGCTTTTTCGAAATATTTCGATGTAAATGTATTGTTGCGTGAACAGACAAAAACAGCGATTAAAATTCAAAATGATTTTTATGCACCAGTGTTTGGAATTAAGATTATAAAAAATCGGTAAAGTAATCTTACTGATTCGATATAATTAAAAACATAACTTTCCATTAATTAATAGCTCTTTGTACAAAATTGACATTATACGCGATCACAAATACTAGCTTTGTTTATGGCCACAGGTGGCTAGTACACTGGTGACCTCGATCAAAGGCGTGGGATTCGCGCGTTGGGTTACATAACTAAACATCGAGCTGAACATGGAGACCGTAATATGCATACAGCTAATGATCGTGAATTATTCAATGCATACAGTTTAAAATCACTTACAAAGTTTGTTGTAATAATAAACGTAGAAAGATAGATTTAATATTCTCCGCTTTTGAACACTATTAATCTAATTTAAAAAAGAAGAAAAGAAAGACTAGTTGTAATAAATAATTTAATAGTGAACCATAAACCACGTTTTAAACCTTATTAAAAAGAAAATTAACATTAAATACCGCAGGGTATATTATTGATAGCAAGTCTGTTTAAGTTATACACATGAAGAGGTCTGATTTCCTTGCCGAATGAAAAACGTTACCTGTTTACCTGGCCAGCTTTCTAATACGTATTACGCAATACCCATGGTATACTCGAACAAAACAACATTTTCATTAGATCAAAAAGGTGTAAAAGAACAATTTTGTTCCCAAGATCCAGATCGAAATATTTACCGTTTTTGAGTTATAAAGCAATAACTTTTAAGGGCCCAAGATCCCTAGTCATAGGGGCCAGCCCCTTTTAAATAGTATAATATGAAAGCCCTTGCAATTATGCACAACTTTTGTTCTACATGTCTTAACAAAATATTTCTAGTTTTCAAGATATAAAGGAAAATATGTCAATTTTTTTGCTGTTTTCCGCGTTCTAACTTTTGACCCCTCTCTAGCGCCATTTTTAATGCAAAAATCAAAAAACAAAAACCGATGTGCACAACTTCAATGCTTCCTCTTTTCAATTTCAAAGGGTTTTGTGCTCCAATTATAACCATTTCTGAGCCTTTGTCTGGAAATCGGAGGCATGCAAAATTCAATCAAAGGGGAATAACTCGTGAACAGAAGGTAATTTCCGAATTGTATTACAATATTCTGACAGTGTTTTGTAAAGTCTAAAAGCTCTGAAAATTTGAACAAAATCTGTTTAAAAATGAGGAAGATATGAAGCGTCAAAGTTGGCGTCTAGGAAAAAAAAAAAAAAAGAATAATCTTAATCATCACAATCAGTAGAAGGTCTTCCGTTGGAAACGGAAGACCTTAATAAATTAAAACAAAACTTTAATATATATACAACTGTATAGAGAGAGAGAGAGAGAGAGATTTCGTTTTTTACATTAAAAAATTGATTTATGCCCGTCGTGTTATTTATTCGATTTTCCTTTATGCATCATTTTATACTCTACATAGTGTTATAATTTTTTTATGACTTTCTTTGGGTCTTTATCTGATTTTAATTACAATTCACATTTGCCTGTATACATGTTTATGTATATGAACAGCACGCCTGCAGAGAAAATCATTTTACGCCTTTTTTTAAAACATGACTTACATGTATTACATTTATAACATTTGAGTAGGAAAATATTTGAATAAAAATCTTTATATTTGATATATATTAGAGTGTTCTGTAATATTAAACACGAATTTAATAAAGACGAAGGGTAAACTAATACATAAATTATTTTCATTATCGTTTTATGTAATGATCTCACACATGTGAGATCACTTAGGATTATTGGGAAAAAATACTTTAAAAATGGAAAGTTGATAGCATTGCGGGTGCATTAAACTGACTTGTTGTATGCTCTTCAAAATCAATCTTTCTTTTATGAAAAACATCTTCAACCTTTTTTTAATAAAAAAAAAAAAAACTGAATAATTAAAAAAAAAAGAAGCATAATTATATCACACTGGAATATATATTTAAAGTATATATACGTGCTTAAGTAATTTAAAACTTCCATCACGTTTCACTCAAAGTCCTGGGTACACATGCAAAAAGAAAGAATCGAGAAAAAACGGAGAAATATAAAGTAATTTATTCATTAGTTCTGGATTTATCTTAATATCATAGGCGTCGGAAGCAACTTGAAATAGAAAAGGAAACAAGGCCGGGGAGGTTGGTACTTAAAAAAAATAATGATCTGCTTGACCAACCTGTATTAATATTGAAACCATGCACATGCATTTCTGAAGGAATTTAGAAAAAAAAATATTCACAGTGATAGATGTAGATGAGGCAGGGGAAAAGAATTTGTCGACACTTATAAATTTTGTTTACAAAAAGTTTTGTTTCGTACATCGTATGAATGAACTGGGAAAAAATCATCGCAAAAATTAAAATTAAAGCATGAATTGTCAAAGTTCCAGTCGTACAACATTGGTTTGTCTAGATCTGCCCATGCTTATTTTCCCAAACGGCTTTACAAATTGCCTGTTATAATTTTACTCTATACCCCCCTTATCTCTCTCTCTCTCTCTCTCTCTGTGAAAGATATTACATTCTTACTAATATCAGTTTTTACCTTTTAATCTTAAAATTTATTTCAAAGAAACCCCGGCGTTATATTTATAAAAAATATACATTAAAAATACATCATTATACGAACAATCAAGAAAAAAAAATAAATAAAAAAAAAAAACAGACCAAAACAAACAAAAATGAATCAGTTAACTTTAACTTCATATAAACGAGTGTTTGTATTAGTATTATGCTAATAAAATAATGATTAAAGGGGAAAAATTACTGCATTGAGTATGACCGAATTATGACGTTGTCATCACCTTTATGGCGTCAAGTCATGTGATCAAAACATGGTGTCGCCCATAAATAAGGTCAGAGCATTGTGTATAGTGTAACATGACTGTCTAGGGGTCAGTCCCGTACATAATCCGAGTTCAGAAGGATGAAAGAAAACAAGAATTTCAGTGTTTAAAGACTGAAGAATTAGATTCTATATTCTGTTAAAATAACAATCATGTAAATCAAACGTAAAACATATGAAACAATATCACCTACGATCCAAGAGTGTGATAATTACCATTATTGTAGATAGAAATTTAGCCTCGATCCTCGAAATATGTCTGATCAATAATCAATAATATTATCGACTGCTGCTGATTATACACAAATGCATGTATAATATGACAACAATAAATCCCGGCCGGGTACTATAGACCTGGGCGTGCCTAATCCGGATGGGTTATAAACAAAGGGGAATAACTCCATATAACAAGTTAAGACAAATAGGGGAAATATGAATGAAATATGTCACATACAGATAAATAAATATATACACACATAATAAATACACTTCAAACCATCACAATAGATTAATATTTGGGTTAAGTTAGGCAATATTTTGGTTGGGGAAATTAGGTTTCCACATTGTACATTAATTATAACAGTTTTCTGTTTTCTGTAAGACTGGTAATAAATTTGTAAGGTCGGTATACCAATATCGAATATTGAACTAACAGAACAATACATAGAATCACGAGTACCTTGCAGTTATCTTACTACTGCTCTTTTGTGGGAGAGTAGAGGAAGCTCTAAATCTCGCAAGATTTCTGGGGCATAACATTGTTTACAGCAGTGACAATCAAATGATTTGAACAATAAGCAGTGATGAGTATGCAGAAAGTGTATTGCCAAGGATTGAACTCGAAATAGTAGCTATTTTGTCAAATAAGGAAAGTTTAAAGTATTTTATGAACTATAAAAAGTAACGATTTTCAATGAGAATTTCATGAGAAGAGTCCACTTAGTGAAAAGTATCGCTAAAAATATAACATTTGAGGATTAGCTCCTCTCTCAGATTTATTAGGCTGGTTCAGCATATGTTTAGCAAGATATTTCACCAGGATTTCTTTCTTAATTCCACAATGATCGATCTTGCATTGCATTCAATAGCACATTTGCCCCAATCCAACAGGCATTTCCTACCTCCACCGCAAAAGAGTTCTGCTAAGTTAAGTATATGCAAAATCAAGTATTGACTTTTTCATCAAGTTGTGTGCAATAATCATTGAGGATTTGTTAAAGAATATTTTTGTTTGTTCCCTTTAAATCCTACAAACTGAGACCCTTTTCGATGTAAATTGTAAGTAAACAGTTATGATAACAATAATCATTGCGAGTACAGGGAGTGGGCAGTGGCGCAAAGCCCCGCTCATCACTGGGAGCTCTTAATACAACGCGTGGGTGAAGAGAAAATTTGGACATTGCACATTGATCCAAACAAATTTTTTTTCCACAGTAACTTCTGGACCCACAATGCATTGCTTGTTAAATTACCTTCTCACAAGAATAACAATAAAAGTTCAACAAATAATAAACTCGCCTTTATTTATTGGATAAATTGCAGATAAATAGTCAATAAAACATTCTTCATTAAAATAAGCACTTTTCTTTCTTCAGTTTAATGGTAATGAAACTTACATACCACATCATGTGCCGTCAGAGTCTAGACGCACCAAATGTCACGTGCGGTTTATAGAGACAGGCCTAAATACAATGATAAACAGTACACTGAAAAGGTATCTGCGCTTGCCCTTACGGTCGCACGATTAACATTTTATGATTGAATAATTCTCAGGTTTTTGATTGTCTGATAGCCAACATTTTAGCAGTCAAAAAATGTTATACTGTAGACGTATTACATTTGGATGTGTATTTTTTTTAGTGCCTTTGGCTGAAAGAATCTTCTGTTAATTCAAGTACAATGCTAAATGTCTTGCAGCACATAATTATTCATGATTAAGAACATTAAGAAACGTGCTAAATCAAATCTAAGCTAACTTGCTCAAAAGTTAATTTCCCTCAAATATCGTACATGTACACGCTAAATAGAATACATTTACAGTATTCACCTGCATGTTATCTTCCAGATGAATATTATTGAATTCATGTACAATTATTGACTTTTGATGAGGTCTACTCATTACTATACAGACCTAGTTGACTGAGACCGAAAGCTGTTCAAAAGTCAAGAGCCGTTTTAACAAAAGATCTGGAATTTACTACATTTTTGACACTTTAGTTCTTGTCTCCAACAAATATAAACACTCATGATATAATGCATAGTGTAACTTAACACATTATAATTGTAATTGATCAGCTTAACAAATGTTTAAAAGTGGAAAAAAAATATTGAACAACAGATACTCAACTATTTACTAAGAAATTAGCTTAGTGTCTCTGCATCTAGCATGTTTACTTAACATTTAAAACGACACGTTTTAAAAACATGCACTTTGATTGGTCAAAAATGTTAGCAAATCTATGAATAAATAAATTCAGAATTAAATTTATGAAATTTTTTTGTTAGAATGTTTGAGGCAAACAGAAGATGCATGGAATCCCCCCTGAACATGGAGACAGCACAGTTACATGCATTATCAAAGCTGGATTATTAGGTGCTACATTTAAACTCAACCATAAATATTTGCTTATTTTTAAGGTAATGAAATATTTCAAACTGAATTTGTTGTATCATTCAACATTTAATGTCCTGTATTGCTTTTTATGGTGTAGTATGTATGTATGTATGTTGTTCTACGTCCCGTTCGAGAATTTTTCACTCATATAGAGATGTCACCATATACCGGTGAAGGGCTTCAAATTTTGACCTTTACTCGGCACTCGGGGCCATTGAACAGTGAGGGATCTTTATCGTGCCAACGCCTGCCGTGACACGGGGCCTCGGTTTTTAAGGTCTCATCCAAAGAACCCGCAACTTTCACTTCAAAGTGCCGAGCGCATGGCGAAGAAACAGTTGCTACCCATTTTTTATCGACTTAGGTCAGTCGCGGCTGAGATTCGAACTCACAACCTCCTGATCACAGAGTGAGCGCTCTACCAACTGAGCTACTGTGAATGGTCTTTTGGTGTAGTAGTTATAAGCTTCTAAAGCATATTGTTTTCAAAGAAACGAAAAGAAATTAAAAAATGAAAAGTAATTTATGGTAATTTTAATAGCCTACACTTTAAAAAGATTTCTGTATTTCCCCCTCTGAACTGTAGAGATTAGACATGTCAATTGATATACTCTATATTATACAATTTGGTGGTTAACGATGCAACATAAGAATTCAAGTGCTTAGTGTTGCCAAAGTACCTGCAGAAGTTGTAGTAAAACCTTCAGGGGTAAAAATATCATTTTCATCCTCTTATTTTCATACTTGATTGCCAAAGCTTAATTATGACTTTTATGAAGTTTTTCTTTTCCAGTTTAGGTATACAGAGATCCCTTGAAGAAATAAAGAACAGCTTTTAATTAGAGAATTCTCTTTTAATACAGGTACAAAGCTGTCAAACCATGATGAGTAAAAAAGATGTAAGGAAATTTGTTACAGCCTCCCAGGTAATAATAAAATAATTCAATCTTCCAAAAGAGATTTTATCTCACTCAAGCAGAAGACTCAAGTGAGCTTTTCTGATCAAAAAGTGTCCTATGTCTGCCTATCTAGCTGTCCGTCAACCTTCTGTCCATCTGTCTGTCATGTTGCTGCAGAACTGTAGCTCTCCAAAAAAAAAATATATTGTCAGACCGGAGAGCTACAGTGCCACCCATTAAAAAATGTGTATATTTACTGCGCCAAAAAAAGTAAGCTGAATCTCGATTTATTTCTCTGTTATCAACTGCAATCTAAAAATACTATTAACCCTGTGTCTCTAACATATTTTTGCACTTTTTCCATAACAAAACATTCTTTACAACCATTGTTAATCATATCAATAGCCCTCCTGGGCCTGAAATTGAAACCATCGAAAATTTTGTCTATTTATTCTGCGATCTTGGGTGGCAAGGTAATTCGGTCCAACGCGCTTCTTGCAGATGTCAACTACAAGAGTAGTTGATAGAGGTCTAAGGAAAATTTTGAAATCCAGGTTTTGTGCAGTTGAGGTAAAAATTTAGAGAAATTAATTCAGAACCAAGCGCAACTTTTTGTGTGCAATAAATATACACTTTTTTTCTATGGGTGGCACTGTAGCTCTCTGGTCATCTATCCCTATTTTTTCAAACCAGCAAGTTACAGATCAGCAGCTTTCTGTCATGTTGTCTGTAAACTTAATTTTTACATTTTCAACTTCTTCTTCAGAACCACTGGGCCAATTTCAACAAAACTTACCTCAAAGCATTCTTGGGTGAAAGGAATTTAAGATTGTTTAGAGGAAGTGCCATGCCCCCTTTCAAGGGGAGATAATAAGGAACTCATGAAAATTTGAATTTTAAAAATTTTCTGCTCAATAACCACTTGACCAGAAATGATGAAATTTATGTGAAAGCTTCTATTAAAGTTTGTTCAAATTATGACTCCCAGGGGTAGGATGGGATCATAAGAAGGAATCAGAGAATTACATAGGAATATGTAGGAATTATCCTCAAAAATCTTCCTCCTAAAAACAGCAAAGCCATTAGTAGTCATTTTTTATACAGAGGCATCCTCAGGTAGTGAAGATTCAAATTTGTTTAAATCATAACCTCCGGGACTAGCATGGGGCCACAACAGGGGATCAGGGTAATGCATTGGAATATATAGAAAATATTTTTTAAAAATCTTCTTCTCAAGAACAACAAAGCCATAATTTCATATTTTTTTTTAGAAACTTTAAAGGTATTGTAGACACAAATTTGCTAAAATCATGCCTGGGGAGAAGGGGTTGGTTAAGGTGGGACCACAATAGGCAGTAAAAGTTTTATAATGGAATACATATGGAAAATGTCTTTAAAAATCTTCTTCTTAAGAAGAGGAAAATTCATATGAAGTCATATTTATATGGAAGCATTCTCAGGTAGAATAGATTGAAGGTTACATGTATTCATATCATGACCCCCTATGGTAGGGTGGGGCTATAATATGTGATCAGTTTTACCCAAGAATAAATAGGAGAAGAAAGAATCTGCTGACGGAGAACAGAAGGGCCATAGTTAATCAGGTGAGCATTATGGCCCATGGGTCTCTTGTTTGTTCAATATTTACATTAAGAAATCATCAAGATTCACCTATTATGTGTCATATTTTTTAAGTTAAAAGTTAACAGTAAATATTGTTTGTTTATCAACAGATTCAGCAAATAATGCTAGAGAATTAGTTAATGCAAGACCTAATGATGGAAATGTACCAGGTTCCATGGCTAGGAGAATGTCAGAAAGCCTCATCATTAGTGTGTTACAGGTAAAAATTTTTTTAGGAATTTAAGAAATAAATAACAGCTAGTGTTAAAAATTCACTAGGAAATGAATTTGGTTGGTTCACGGTCACATCTCTTGAGAAGCCTGTAAGTCTCATTGATGAAAGTGTTACCATGCTGGTTTCCCAGGTGCCTATAACACTGATATCCTACATGTAGGTTCCAGTCAAGCATCTGCTCTGCTCAAGGTTCCAGGAGTGAAAAATGTTGGTTAGGAATAAAGTGGCATCAGGTATTGCTTCTGTCATAGAATCTTCTTTTTAAGAATTAATTAACCCCTTAGTCAGTATTAGGGGTATGTAGTTTTTGCCCTGCTTATCGATCTTGTTTGTCTCCAAAAATTTAACCTTGCCCATAACTTTTTAGCTCACCTGAGCCAAAGGCTCAAGTGAGCTTTTCTGATCAAAATTTGTCCGTTGTCTGTCGTCGTTGTTGTCGTTGTCGGCGTTGTCGTTGGCGTAGGCGTTGGCGTTGTTGTTGTAAACTTTTCACATTTTCATCTTCTTCTCAAGAACCACTGGGCCAAATTCAACCAAACTTGCCACAAAGTATCCTTGGGTGAAGGGGATTCAAGTATGAAGGGCCACGCCCTCTTTCAAGGGGAGATAATTAGGAATTAGTGAAAAAATAATGACATCATTTAAAAATCTTCTTCTCAAGAACCACTGGGCCAGGAAAGATAAAACTTATGTAGAAACATCCTCAGGTAGTGTAGATTCAAGTTTGTTCAAATCATGACCCCCAGGGGTAGGGTGGGGCCACAATGGGGGATCAAAGTTTTACATAGAAATATATAGGAAAATATCTTTAAAAATCTTCTTCTTAAGAACAGCAAAGCCATGATTGGTCATATTTATATGAAAGCATCCTCAGGTAGTGTAGATTCAAGTTTGTTCAAATCATGACCCCCGGGGGTAGGGTGGGGCCACAATGGGGGGGGTCAAAGTTTTTCATAAGAGTATATTGAAAAAAACTTATGGAAGCATCATTCAAATGATTGTTCAAATGAGCACCCCCGGGGGTAGGGTGGGGCCACAATGGGGGATCAAATTTTTACAAATGAATATATGGGAAAAATCTTCTGCTCAAGAACAGCAAAGTTATTTGTTATATTGATATGAAAGCATTGGTAGTTTAAAATCCCCCATCCCCCCCCCCTCTCTCTCCCCCATTAACTTTTCAATACTGAACTGATTTTTGCTTTTTTTCCTAGCCAGTGTGCTCAGGTGAGCGATGTGGCCCATGGGCCTCTTGTTTAGTAGATGGAACTATGGCATTCATATTTCACAGGTCACTTGTGACAATACCTTTCTTTGGGTATCACTTAATTTGACCTCTTTACCTTGGAATTTGACCCACTTACACAAAAAATTACCAAATTTTAACCTTTGCAATAACATTTGAACGGTTGTGCTAGGGCTTTCATCCTTCACTTGTATATTCATTGTGGTAAGACCTTTTAATGGGCATAAATATTTTTGACCTTTTGACCTTGATCTTAGAGTTTGACCCACTTTTTGAAAACTTTAACCTTGGCTATAATTTTCAACGGTTAGCACAAGGGCTTTCATATTTCACAGGTATTCCTTGTGACAACACCTTCTTTTGGATACCAACAGTTTGACGTTTTCACCTTGACCTTAGAGTTTGACATGTATTTGAGAAACTTCAACCCTCGCCCTACGGGGGCATCAGTGTTTCACAAACACATCTTGTTTCACATAAATTGTAGCTTTAACAAAGATAAAGACACACTGTTGATAATTTTTTAAGATGACATTTTATTTACAAGTTATGCTGGGGGGTTCTGTTAAAATATTCTGTTTACATGAGGTCATGATGAACAAAAGAAGGTAGTACACAGTGTTTAGACTGGCAGAAGAAGTGATATGGTATCATTATTTTCTTATACATATACAGTAAAACAGGCTTTAGCTTATAATGAATTAAAGCTAATAGAAAGTGATTTTTATTCTGTTTTTTTTTAAACATATTACAACTCAATGTATACATGAATAATGATTTACCTTAAGTTTTTAACAAAGCAAAATTGTCTGTCCCTAGCACTTTGATATAGGCTTGTTTTTCTGACTAACTGTACAAGTATTTATTCCACCAGTTAAAATTTTAATATGAATTGTATACCTTTTATGCTTTTGATAACTGTGATTTAATGTAGAATTATGTCCACAGCATTTTTTAATCTTTGCAAAAACTATTAGAATTATTATTAGTCCCCCACCTGTGAAACCAGAGGTGACAATAGGTTTCACCGTGTCTGTGCGTCTCTCTGTACATCTCTCTGTCTGTCCATCTGTATGTCTATCAGTCTGTCCCACTTGGTTTACCACACTTTTTTTCTAAACGCTTGCAGATATTGAGATGTTCTTTGGTATGTGAATCTAACTTGATGAGTTATAGATTAAGTTTGCATTATGATTTTTTGACGGAATTATGGCATTTTCAATTTTAAATGGGAACAAGATTACACTTGCTGGTTGGGGACTAGCAATGCAATGGCAAAACTCTCAGAATGCTTGTTCTGGTTGAAATGTTTGTGTTTTTAGTCCCCTACCAGTGAAACCGGAGGGGACTATAGGTTTCCTCTGAGTCTGTCTGTCCGTCTGTCTAGCTGTCCCTCTGTCTGTCTGTCAGTCTGTCCCACTTGGTTTTCCGCACTTTTTTCCTAAACGCTTGCAGATATTGAGCTGATTTTTGGTATTGAGTGTATCTTGATGAGTTACAGATCAAGTTTGCATTTCGTTCCGCTTCATTGATTTTTGACGGAATTATGACCTCTTCAATTTCTAAGGGTTTTCCGCAATTTTCTTCTAAACGCTTGCAGATATTGAGCTGATTTTTAGTATGTGACTTTACCTTGATGAGTTATAGATCAAGTATGCATTTCATTCCACTTCATTGATTTTTGAAGAAATTATGGCATTTTCAATTTTTAACGGGAACCAGATTACACTTGCCGGTAGGGGACTAGTATTGCTATTGCAATACTCTCAGAATGCTTGTTACAATTAAGTTGCATTTTTTTCAGAGGCAGTAAAGGAAATCGATGGTGATGTTTCTTGTGTTGGTGATGAGAATCAGAGTGAGGAGGAAATGGATGACAGTCAAGACAATCATGATTTCCACACTTTAACTCCAGGTACTGTATACACACTACATTACTGCATTACCCATCTTTAAGCAATAACTTCCTTTTCTTGTTATTATAAGCAGAAGCCCTGAATGCACAGCATTGTTAAGGCTGCATAAAGGAGGTGGGGCCTAATTTTTACCGGAAAAGTTTACTGTGACATCACACAAAAATAGTTATTCCTCATAATACCAGAAAATGAAATAATTTGCAATTTTAAACTATCTTATCATAATAAACAACATGAAAATTACCAATGCATTAGTTTTTGTTGCTAGTTAAATCCCACAGAGCAGGTTATTAACAAATTACTGATTGCAGTGAACTTGTCGACATGACATCATTTTGGTAAAAATGACATATTTCATGTGCTGTGAGAGACAGAACGAAGATTTTTTTTACAGTGAAAAATGTATTTTATTATTAAACAGAATATTATTTACAGATTTCAGACAGGCAAGTGATACAAATGTAAAACCTTTGTTTAGTGCGATTATCCAATAATTATACAGAAAATGTATTTAATAAATTCTTCTGTGTTTTTATGTACAAGGTTCCGGACCCATGTTTAACATCGAGGTGCCTAATTAAATCGTTTTTTCGCAAGGGCATTCACTTAATAGATCTTAACCGTTTTTCGAATGTAAATAAAGGATAATTATTTTCCTTAACTTGAAAAGTACTGCTGCTTTCCCAAAATCGAGAGCATTATTTAATAAATGCATAAAACACTTTGTAAAGGTCACACATATTTCAAATGGAGCTACATAACATGAATTTTTCCTTATAAAATGCAAACTCTAAAGCAGCAGAACTTTTTAGAAAGTACAAGGTATATAGAAATAATTTATAACTTAGATTTTTTAATGGAACTAGGATATGCCCTTGCGATATTGAAATTTGTGTATGACCTACATGTAGTACACATTATATGCAATTATCACGTGACTTCCAAATAAGGTTACCAAACTAGATTCAATATAGAGTGGGGTATAGGCCTACAATATTATTTTTATTAATTTTTAAGTCATCTGGGAATATAATAGCTTTACAAAAATAAATCAGCATTAAAAAGTTATCTATTTGTACATGCCTATTTTCCACTGATTTCTTCATAGTATGCCTTAACAGTGCTGCGTGGTCTACATGCATGAAAAATGTATAGTTCTCAATACTGGATATTGAGTATGAACAGAAGAGCTTCAGTATAAGTGACAAAAAGAGTGGTTATATATTCAAGGGTAGAGCAAGGTATATTCTGAAATAAGTTATTTGCGTTGGTGGAACTTTACCAATATGAGAGTCATCGCATTTCACACAGATGTCTTCTGAATGGAGATGGAAGAGTGAGATTAAATTCCAGATAGAACAAAATATTGATCTAAAACTGAATGTAAATTTAAGTAGCCAAGCACACAAGTTTACAGATCATTCAAATAATGAATGTACCTATTTAATACATATATATTAGTGAGCAATCATTCTCCTACCAAATTGTATTTCAGATGCCGAAAAGTTCTTCACTTTTCACAAAATACTTAGCCAGTCATGATAAGCCACTTTCAGAGCTATTTGCTTTATTTTTATACAGACAAAAGTATAAACAGAAGAAAAATTATATTCTGAAAATTTGATTTTAAGGAAAAGGAAGCCACTTTCTGATCACAGATCCACAACAGAAATGGAAGATTCTGCATGCAAGTGACAGAAGATACAAAAAATCCCATGGACATCATGTGAAATTATTTTAATCAAAAAACATTTCAGAAAAGATTACAAAAATGTAATAAGAACTTAGATAACTGTTAAAGACCAAGTATATAATCTAGTTTAAAAAAAAAAAACAGAGAAAATCTTGATTTACACACTAATTTCAATTGATATATTTTTGAGAAAAATGATAAACACTGTGTTTTGGAGCCACAATTAGCAGTATTGGGGGTTAAATTGTTTTATCAGTTTTATCATTATGAAACCAGCATGGACCATGATACTTGCATGACTGAAGAGTGCAGAAGAAACTACATGATGTGTGTAGCAAATGATTTTGAAGTACATGTATTAAATATTCTGTGCAGAAGGAAATTTTTTCCTTTTTTTTTTCGTGAACATGTTTTCAAGTATCGCATGACCTTTCTGAAAGTGAAAAAAATGTGCATGTCCCAGTTAAGTTTGATCAAGTCTCCAAATAAAGTTATATGCAGAAATTCTTTTTTTATTTATCCACTATGGTATTGTTTATGAAATCCACAGTGAAATGTACTTTTAAGTGAGTTGAATTGAATATAAAGAGTTGGGTTCACTTTATGCATAAGATAGCCCTGTCCTTATATCAGTTAATTGTCCATCACCCTCTGTCCCATTTCTAACATCCAAATAAAGCTGAGAGTGCCTTTCATTCCTTTAACAAAGTTTCTTAAAGAGTCCAGAGATTGGAAATTAAACAAGCTTTGTAAAATTGCAAAGTTCTTGAACTTTTGCAGAAAACAGGCTTATTTGAAAGAAAACTAAATACAAGCTTACTCCTCAACCCAGAATATAAAACATGTTTTTCAGAAACAGATCCTTAATTATTTAATATCCTCTGCATGGATTAGAGATTGCACTCTATATGAAATATTTTTGAAAAATGCTAAAACTTTTGTCCGTTGTTGAAGGAATTTTCAGGATGTGGAGAAAATCTTTCCTTTATATTGATGTTTGAAATAGGACCCTGGGGCTTTGTCAGTTAATTGGTATGTTAAATGTATCCATGTATCCATTTTATGGATAAAGTGAACCCAGCTCTTTACATCATTTTTAATAGATACAGTCACCAAAAGGTCCAAAAGATAATTTAATGCACATGATACCAAAACTGAGTAGTTTTGATTTCTCACAATTCAAAGGGCCATAAAAGCCCTAAGTTAACCTTGCTTTTTTATAATGTTTATGTCTACAAACTTTTACCATATGTATCAGGTCCTTAGTTTCTAAAAATACCATTATCTTGTGTAAGTCCCCAGAGTTTTACCATCGTGTATAAGGTCCTTGGTTTCTATAAATACCCTTGTCTTGTGTAAGCCCCCAAACTTTTACCATGTGTATAAGGTCCTCAGTTTCTATACATACCCCTATCTTGTGTAAGTCCCCAAACTTTTACCATGTGTATCAGTTCCTCAGTTTCTATAAATACCCTTATCTTGTGTAAGTCCCCAAAGTTTTACCATTGTGTATAAGGTCCTCGGTTTCTATAAATATCCTTATCTTGTGTAAGCCCCCAAACTTTTATCATGTGTATAAGGTCCTCGGTTTCTATACATACCCTTATCTTGTGTAAGTCCCCAAACTTTTACCATGTGTATAAGGTCCTCAGTTTCTTTAAATACCCTTTGTCTTGTGTAAGTCCCCAAACTTTTACCATGTGTATAAGGTCCTCAGTTTCTATACTTTCATTATGTGTAAGTCCCCAAACTTTTACCATGTGTATAAAGTCCTCAGTTTCTATAAATATCCTTATCTTGTGTAAGTCCCTAAACTTTTATCATGTGTATAAGGTCCTCATTTTCTATAAATACCCTTGTCTTGTGTAAGTCCCCAAACTTTTATCATGTGTATAAGGTCCTCGGTTTCTATAAATACCCTTATCTTGTAAGCCCCCAAACTTTTATCATGTGTATGAGGTCCTCAGTTTCTATAATACCCTTATCTTGTGTAAGTCCCCAAACTTTTACCATGTGTATCAGGTCCTCAGTTTCTATAAATACCCTTATCTTGTGTAAGTCCCCAATTTTTTACCATGTGTATAAGGTCCTCAGTTTCTATAAATACCCTTATTTTGTGTAAGTCTCTAAACTTTTATCATGTGTATAAGGTCCTCAGTGTCTATAAATACCCTTATCTTGTGTAAATCCCAAAACTTTGCATGTGTATAAAGTCCTCAGTTTCTATAAATACCCTTGTCTTGTGTAAGTCCCTAAACTTTTACAATGTATGTAAGGTCCTTAGTTTCTATACTTTCATTATGTGTAAGTTCCCAAACTTTTATTATGTGTATAAGGTGATCAGTTTCTATACATTTATTATGCATAACTTTAACTATGTGTATAAAGTACTCAGTTTCTATAAATATCTGTATCTTGTGTAAGTACCCAGTTTGTATAAATACCCTTATGTTATGTAAGTCCCTTAACTTTTATCATGTGTATAAGGTCCTCAATTTCTATAAATACCATTATCTTGTGTAAGTCCTCAGTTTCTATAAATACCCATATCTTGTGTAGGTCCCCAAACTTTTACCATGCTTATAAGGTCCTCAGTTTCTATAAATACCCTTATCTTGTGTAAGTCCCTAAACTTTTACCTTATGTATAAGATCCTCAGTTTCTATAAATACCCTTATCTTTTGTAAGTCCCCAAACTTTTACCATGTGTATAAGGTCCTCGGTTTCTTTAAATACCCTTTATCTTGTGTAAGTCCTCAAACTTTTACTGTGTGTATAAGGTCCTCAGTTTCTTTTAATACCCTTATCTTGTGTAAGTCCCCAAACTTTTACCATGTGTATAGGGTCTTCAGTTTCTTTAAATACCCTTTATCTTGTGTAAGTCCCCAAACTTTTATCATGTGTGTAAGGTCCTCAGTGTCTATAAATACCCTTATCTTGTGTAAGTCCCAAAACTTTGCATGTGTATAAAGTCCTCAGTTTCTATAAATACCCATGTCTTGCGTAAGTCCCTAAACTTTTACAATGTGTGTAAGGTCCTTAGTTTCTATACTTTCATTATGTGTAAGTTCCCAAACTTTTATTATGTGTATAAGGTGATCAGTTTCTATACATTTATTATGCATAACTTTAACTATGTGTATAAAGTACTCAGTTTCTATAAATACCTGTATCTTGTGTAAGTACCCAGTTTGTATAAATACCCTTATGTTATTTAAGTCCTTTAACTTTTACCATGTGTATAAGGTCCTCAGTTTCTTTAAATACCCTTTGTCTTGTGTAAGTCCCCAAACTTTTACCATGTGTATAAAGTCCTCAGTTTCTATAAATACCCCTATCTTGTGCAAGTCCCAAAACTTTGCATGTGTATAAAGTCCTCAGTTTCTATAAATACCCTTGACGTTGCGCACGGTGTTGGTACACATTGACGTTACGTCAAAATAACGTTATTAATGTCATAACGTTGTTACAACGTTTTAAACGTCAATTGCATATTTTAGTTGTTTAATGTGAATTCTATTTATTTATTTTTTTAAATCTAAATAAAATAACAGAGCACAAACTTTTCAATTTTTGAATCTTCGTTGAAAATATTAAGATGTACACTAAAAATCCTATAATCTTATAAATATTTAATAAATTGTCAGATTTTTATTATGAAATTGTCACAGGCATACATATCGCTAAACTGGAAAAAAAATTAAATGGCCTTATACTGAATTAAACTTTTCTTTTCTTTTTTCTTCAGCCCAAGTAGTTAAGCTCTCTTTAAAAATCGGGGGGGGGGGGTTACTGACATGCAAAAAAGAAGGGATGCATGTGCATGGGGACGTTTCGCTATTAAAAACCCTACTAAATTGAAAAAAAAAAACTAGACAGAAAAAATAAAATTCAGAAACCCTTTTACTTTTTCGTGGAGGGGGGGGGGGGCTCTCATTCTCATTTAGCAAAGAGAGAGAGAGAGAACAATAACGCGATATGTTTAGATATTGCTGCAGCAAAATAAAAAGGGAGTATCGGCCTTTGAATGAAAATTTTCAGAATATTTAAAACAAAAGATTGTTCTAAAATAATTGGAGAAGGACCTTTTACCCTACTTGGTACTCCGGACCTACAGAAAATTGAAAAAAAAAAAAAGAACACGGCGATACAATTTGACGCTCCCGACGTCATTCGTATATATGTAGTGTGTAAAATGACGTTTTTCGTACCTGTGACAAAATGGCTACATCTATATTAATGCTTGCGTTTATTTCATGTAGATGATAACCGTAAAAATTATGTTATTATCTAATACAGTATGAAATGTTCTTTCAAGATACAGTAATGATTGGTATATATATGACATTAATTTATGTATATTTGATATGTAACTGAGACATATTAAGTAATAGTACAGCGACTAGTACGTGCATAACAAAATGGCTACACTTAACAAAGCCTTACTAATATTAACGTATCAGCAGTTATATAACATGTATCAACATAATTAATTTTAGAAACATATGTACTTAAAGATTATTCATCAAAATTTATCTTTGTGTGGCATTTATGTCTCGTACACATCGCCATGCGGGCTAATGTCAACTTTAGGAAACGATTTTTTCCTGTTGGACATATTACTTACGCACTGTAGATACAGCCCAAACTCGTGAAATTGAGAAAATGATGCTAAAAATTCAGCAATATCACAAAGAATGCATACATATTATTGTATTTCCTAAATTTTATTTAATTTAGAGGATTGGAAGTGGATCTTTTTATATCTTGTAGTTGCGCGATTAATAATTCATGTAACGTTGGACACGGGAATTTCGTCGCAATAACCAATAATGAATAAAGCAATATCATAGCTAAGATATTTTTATATTATTAAAAAGAGAATTTTTAGAATAATTTATTACCTTGGATAAAATAATTAATTTTATTTTTAATTTCTAGTAACTTTATCATCTTGAAAGCGCCAGTTTCTTTACGATATCTAAAGAGTCAGATTTTATAGTACCAACACCGTGCGCAACGTCCTTTGTCTTGTGTAAGCCCCCAAACTTTTACCATGTGTATAAGGTCCTCAGTTTCTATACATACCCTTATCTTGTGTAATTCCCAAAACTTTTACCATGTGTATAAGGTCCTCAGTTTCTATAAATACCCTTATCTTGTGTAAGTCCCCAAACTTTTACCATGTGTATCAGGTCCTCAGTTTCTATAAATACCCTTATCTTGTGTAAGTCCCCAAACTTTTACAATGTGTATAAGGTCCTCAGTTTCTTTAAATACCCTTTGTCTTGTGTAAGTCCCCAAACTTTTACTGTGTGTATAATGTCCTCAGTTTCTATAAATACCCTTATCTTGTGTAAGTCCCCAAACTTTTACCATGTGTAAGAGGTCCTCAGTGTCTATGTGTAAGTTCCCAAACTTTAACCGTGTGTATAAGGTCCTTAAGGTCCTCAGCCTGATACATCGAAAGAAGACGGTTGTTCATGATCAAAATACATTGTGAT